GATCTTTTTTTTTGGTTTAAGACTTTTGGCAGTCTGGTTGGTAGTACTTCTCACTTGAGATTCTTGCCTGCCTAATTTCTTTTACATTGATATCTGTTTCCTAGGTCTAGCCTTTATAGTAATACTGTCAAAGATCCATGTTATTTCTTTACTCAGGTTATTCTAAGTGGGCTTCAGCTTTTTAGTTTTATGAATTTACATAATTATAAAGACTTATTTTAAGTTTGCATCATCTATTGTTAGTTTGTATTTCTCTGTATAACTCCAATATTGTGCAGATGCCTCATAACCTGTCAGTCATACTAATGTAACTGTAGTTACAGATATCTTATTCTAACTGATTGACAAAATACCATTGTTATAATATCATTTATATATTATATAAATGATTATCCAAATTTTTGCTATTAGTGGATTTGAACTTACTATCTACTACTTGGAAGGTTGACAACTTATTCACTTCACTAAGTCATCATATTCTTAATATAATATAAAAATTAAAATATTTAAATAAATATTTTTTTAATAAATTACAAGTATAATAACTAATATAAAACTTATAGACAAATTATTTAAATAAGTAACTAAAAGTTACAAATATAGCTAAATATATACTCATTTTGTATAAGTTATATATAATATATTAAAAAATAAAAACTATATATTATAAGTTTCAAGCATAATTGACAGCTAATTAGAATATGAAAACAAATAAACAAAATATATATAACACTATTAATTAATAATAAATATAAAAACAACATATTTTTTACTACACTTTAGATAATAATTAAAAACATAATAAAGATAATAACTACTGTTAATATTAATTTTAGTAAAAGTAAACAAAAACAAAAAAAAAGATAGTGATTCTAGTGTAGTAATTGGATTGTTATCCTCTAATTAGTAGGTCTAAGGTTCAAACCTTATCTATGATAAAATTTGGAAATTATATCTGCATTACAGTAACTGTTTTCTGTCAATCAATTAGTCTTATATGACTATAACTTAAATACATCAAGTTAGTCCTACTGGCATTGGGAACTCAGAGTATCTATGCAAATATAATGTTACATATACATAGAGAAATATATAGCTGGTATTGTATAAAACTTCAGTGCAAACCCATAATAAGACCCTAAATCTAGAAGACTAAGAAACTGAGATAACAAAAACCCATTTAAAAATTTCTAAATAAAGAGATAGTATAAAATTTTAACAATATCATTGGACTGGTTAAAGCCTATAAAACACTTTTATAGAAACTGAAGGTTAAACTGGATGCCAAATATATGTAGAGAAGCATATAACCAACCAGACTACTGAACTTATCAAAGAAAAAGAATACAGAAGTATACTATATCAGGCCATCTAGATTGGTAGTCTGGGAGAGACTGTCAGTTCTGAGTTGCAGTTAATAAAAGATAATGAATAAGATATTGAGAAAATAGATACTAGAGTTTTAATGAACTTTATAAGAATAAAAATAGTATAACATAATAATTAAACAGATAACTTCTATATTTGCAAATGTTAGATTACTATAACATATTATATAAAATTAGATCAGTATATATGAGACATATAGGCTTTAGTAAGTTTTTTGTTAAGAATAAAGTAGTTCTAAGAGTATTGACAAGTATCAAGAACTTGAATGAATATAACCTTAAAGATGTTCTCATGATACAAAAAGGATTGCATATACAGAATGTTTAAATAGGCAAGATCTCTAGTTGACTTATAAGTATAATATCTAGTGTAGAACTTATATAATAATATATAAGCAGACTACTTAAATTAGGTATCAAAAGGTACATATGGCTAGTTGTAACCTTTGATGTAAAGTAATTTCTGGTGACATGCTGTGTTCTATATACTTGAATAAAAATGATATATTCTGAAGATAGAAACTTCAATATTAAAAAAAAAACCAAAAAAACAAATTAATATAAAACTATATATAAAAAATTTAAATTAAAAAAAAACTTTAATTTAAAATTTATAATAAATTTATACTAAATTTTAAAAAATACTAATATCTGTTTTTTATTTTTAATATTATGAGTACTTGTAACAGAATTTTATTAATAATATATTTGACTAATGATTACATTATAACCACAAGAGGCAATTATAAAAAGAGTATACAACTAACCATTTGTACAAGTTTAATTATTGCCTAATTTAAGTAGTTCACTAAAAGGTTCTATATACTTTAGTTGCTATATCTAAAATATTAATATCTTAAAATTTTACTAAAGTAATTTCAGTTATATAACATAATTATAATGTTTTCTTTACAATTTTATCTTAATTTAATTTAATTTTTAGTCTTAATTCTAACTCTAACACTTTAATATAATTAAAGTTCCTTTTATACTTAAGAAAATAAATAACTTATCCAAATGTTAAATAAATTATTTTTTATTATTATAATTTTTATTATATAATATAACACTTTTAAAAAATATGATAATAATAATTAGTATTATATACAACATTTTAAAAAAAATGCCTTATACTTGATAATAATTTCTAAAAACTTAAAAATTACAACAGAAATTCCTGACGATTATAGGTCCAAAAGGCCGTCTGCATCATATGATCATCAGAATATTTGTTGTAATTTTTAACTTCTCACAGAAAACTCATAAATGATATCTTACCTTACATTGTTCATACCTATCTTTATGATAATTTGCACGTAATTATTTGTGACCGGGAATCTTCCCAGGAAAGATATGATCTCGTAGGAAGTTATAATGAAGGTAGACATGAACAACAAATAGTAAGACAGGGTATTAATTTTGATATATACTTCTCTCTAATCGAATAATACGTATATAGATATTTTTGCAAAAATTTCGGGAAATTTCGACTATTTTGCTAGTGTATATTTATAACTAGTAGATTTGATATGTGTAGTGACATCCCATTTTTATACAGTTTGGTAAAAAAAAAAGATTTCTTTCTTTCTCAATCTGGTTACAGAATTTTATATTTTATTTTGTACATAATAGCCAAAAAGTCGAAGAGAAAATTTTTTGTTTGTAAAAGATTTGACTATTATGTAGAGATGTAAATATTTAGAGTCTTGAGGGTAGCTACCCTCGGCACACTACCACGGCCATACGGCACATTTGCCGAATAAGTAGAAGTGCCGTATGCCGTATAAACGCCATATGTCGTATAAGTGTCGTATGCTCATAGGCAGAAGTTCGTTTGTTTGGCTAATAAATTCAGTTTAATTTTACATCATTTATACAGTTTAGAGTACTTTTTAAAAAAACGAAAACCAACCAACCACAATAAAGTAAAAAAAAACTATGTAGAAGGTTTCATTAAAGCTGTAGGACTCCATAGTCAAAAATAAGTTGGTTTTGAGAAGTTATTACTATACTAACTTTTTTAAACGGACGAGAATTAGATCTACAGCTCTAATGAAATCTTCTATACGGCTTTTTTTTATTTCACTATGATTAGTTTTCATTTTTTTAAAAAGTACTCTAAACTGTACAAATAATGTAAATTTATTAGCCAATTAGACAAACTTCTGCCTATGAGCCATATGCCGTATGTGATTACTGACCAATCAAATTGCATAGCTTTATTACGATATCGAATTATTATATTAATGAAAAATAAAGGTTTTTTTTCTTTATCTAGTTCAAAACTTTATTGTTAAGCCAACCCTTCTTAGAGATTGTTGGTGATTATTTTTAAGATTAGCTTTCTAGCGTCTCTTAGAAGCTAAAGATGATGTTTGTTAAGTTACCAAGGCAATTGATTTGTATTAGCCAATCAGACAAATTTCTGCTCGAGTTTGACAGGGTTTATCTACCACGGCATCTACCTAACGGCAATAATGTTTACATCATTACTATTATGTATTATTACAAATCAGAATGAGGTCAGGTGTAGCGTGATATAATTTTTGTATTCTGATTGGAGACCTACAATTTCTTGTAATCCGATAATGATCAGAGATCTGGGGAAGAAATTAATGCTTTTCAGTGTTAGTGTTAGGGACCGTCAAAAATTTTTTCCAAATTTTCCGAAATTTTCGTTAATTTTCGAAATTTATCCAAATAAAGTTAGGGATTGGAACCGTTTAACCGTTTAAAAATTGCTCCATAGTTCCGGGCAGAATTATGTTGGTCGTGGGCCGGAACTATATTAATGCCGGCCAAATTCAACGGTTAAACGGTTAAACGATTAAACGATTTTAGGCGGTACCACATATAATACTAATTTAAGATATGCGATTCGTAAAATCGGACATTAGCTTTTTAGTGTAATCTAAAATGCATACGTACGTACAATTTAAAGAACAATAATTCTTGAATAGGATTAAAAAAAAAAAAAAAACTTAATAGACAAATATACGGAACTTCTATCTTTAAAAAAGAAACGATAAAAAAAGTCATTTTCGATACGTTAAACATCCACTTTTTTCTACTAAGAGCCTGAACAGGCAGTAAGGAATATCCCTCAAATACCATACTACCCTAATAAGACTTAAATCTCTAACGATAAGATTAATTGAAAACGCCTTTTATATTGAGATAATGTTCCTGCAAGTTAATCGAGTCACTCTTAATATTATTTGTTAATTGATAATAGTTGTTAATTTTTCTTACATTTGCACGCGGATTTTGCAGCTCTACATTTTTCGAGTGCCTTCCCCTCATATTATCTTGGCACTCTAAGATTAACATTGAAACGAACACAATTAAGACATCACTAGAACTGCAAGACACTGTCGTGGGCCTTAAATCAATTTTCCCTTTTGTAATTTTTGCTCACTTATGCAAGACGTGTCTAGAAAGATCTTATATAGATCATCAATAGATTTTTATATAGAAAACAATTATAACATTAAACCTTCTATCAAGATAATTCTCTCATATAGTAAAAATCCCAATCAGATAATTCAATATTTTTCGTATTGTGAGCATCTATTTTTTCATATAACTTACTGAAATTTTAGTTTTTAAATAATGGCAGTTCATCCATTTTCACATACCGCAGCGCTCATCTTCTATCGATCGAAGAAGTTTGTTTTAAAATTAAACAGAAAGTATAATTCTGGCAGTAGTAATAATAATAATAGTAGTTGTGGTAAAGTCAACAAGAATAATCAACAGGATTATGATCCTGATTACCTTTATAAACGGGGTGAAGCATACCTGTTTGGGAGAGCTGGAGAGCAAGGAAATGAAAAGAAAGCATTTGAATATTTTCAACGTGCTTCTAAATTAAATCATATAGAAGCTCGGGGGGTCTTGGGATTTTGTTATGAATTTGGATTAGGCGTTGAAAAAGATTTTAAACAAGCAGAGTTGCATTATATCCCGGCTGCAAAGTCCGGAAATGGCCTGGCTCAGGCTAGGCTCGCGTTTTTAAGAAAATATGGTAGGCCTTGTGTTCGCATTGATCGAGCTGAGGCCGAGATGTGGCAACAAAAAGTTAAAGAACAAGGTGAAGCAGCTATCGCTTGGCTATTAAACGCAGCTTGTAATGAAAATCACGCTGCCGCGCAATATTCATTGGGTGTTTGTTATCATGATGGTGTGGGTGTTGATAAAAATGAGTCTGAAGCTTTTAAGTGGTACAAAAAATCTGCTGAACAAGGACATCCACGTGGCCAAGGTATTCTAGGTTTTTGTTATGGAGAAGGATTTGGCGTCCAGAAAGATGAGGTCGAAGCAATGAAATGGTACCGTAGGGCTGCCGAACAAGGGGAGTCTGTTGCAATATACAATGTTGGTTATTGTTATGAAGATGGAATTGGTGTTGAAAAGGATGTAGAAGAAGCCGTTAAGTGGTATCGATTGTCAGCTGAACAAGGAAATGCATTTGCTCAAAATTCTTTGGGCTATTGTTATGAAGATGGAATTGGCGTCGAACAAGACCCTGTAGAAGCTGCAAAATGGTATCTAAAATCAGCTGAACAGGGTTATCCTTGGGCAGAATGTAATCTTGGGTATTGCTACCAAAATGGCATTGGTGTTCCTAAAGACGACGAGAAAGGAGTCTACTGGTACCGAAAGGCAGCTCTTCAGGGACATGCACGTGCGCAACATAACCTAGGTTTTTGTTATCAAAACGGTATTGGTGTACCTAAGGATGAGACTGAGGCAGTAAATTGGTACACAAAATCTGCAGAACATGGAAATATCTTTGCTTATCATTCTCTTGGATATTGCTATCAAAACGGCATTGGCGTCCAAGTTAACGAAATAGAAGCCGTTTATTGGTACATTCTATCTGCAGAAGAAAATCACGCACCAGCTCAACTAAGTCTTGGTTATTGTTTCAGAAACGGTATTGGAGTAGAAAAGAATGAACAGGAAGCAGTTAAATGGTTCACATATGCAGCTCAGCAAGGTAACGCATTAGCACAAAACTCCTTAGGATATTGCTATGAAGAAGGACTAGGTGTCGAAAAGGATGAATCTAAGGCTGTTTATTGGTATGAACTGTCTGCTAAAGCACAAAACCCATGGGCACAATGCAATTTGGGATTTTGCTATGCTAATGGTATAGGTGTAGAAAAGAACGAATATATAGCAGTTAGTTGGTACCGTGAAGCTGCAGCGCAAGACCATGCTCGTGCACAAGACAAGTTAGGGGTATGCCTTCAACTAGGTATTGGATGTGAAAAGGATGAAAAAACTGCGTTACATTATTTCCGCATGGCTGCTGAGCAAGATCACCTGGCTGCCATGTACAACTTGGCTAATGCATTGGAAAAAGGAATTGGTTGTGAGGTTGATCTCGAAGGTGCTACGAATTGGTTGGAAAGAGCAGCTAGTTCTGGTTGTAGAAGAAGCTGCGAACGATTAAAAACATTATTAGTGAAAGAATGTTTGGGACAAGAGACAAGTGGAAATGTTTATTTGACCGGATATTGCGCGGCAGCTGCATGATATTTTAAATTATTTAAAAGAAAATCTCCACTATAATATTTATCCCTTCCTCCATATCTTTCATTCTTCTCTTTACAATCGAATTACCACTCATATCTAGGATATTTTAAAATTTTCCTCAACTCATACGAACAGTCACATTATCCGGAAACTGAAAGATTTGTGTGTATATATTTGATTGTCGAAAAGGTTTATTTGAGAATTGGTTAAATTGGTTTCAAAAGATCGATATCCAATTGGTAAATTCTATTCATCAGCATTATATATAGACTTTAATATGGTAATCCACGAGTTCATTATATATTCAAAACTGTATATATTAAAATAAACGTGCTAAGTGTGGTTTAAGTTTGCTCTTTTGATATACTTACTGACATTTATGTTCAACCACTGTACAATAAGCTTAATTTCCGTAACTTGGTTTGGGTGTTGAAATATGTGCCTTTACCCCAGGATGTGGTTTAAATTTTGCCCGAATTAGGTCGAATTAAGCTTAATTCAGGCCAAAATTTTAAACCACATCCCGGGTATTATTTGTGTGACGTTGGTGAAATTAGTGAAATGATTTCACCAATTACCAATTGGTATTGGTGTATTTGGTATAACTAGTGATCAGAAGGTTTGCTGTGTTAAAGTAGAAATAAATAGGTATAAACATATAATGAAAATAAGAACATTGATAATTGTATAAATAAGTATAAAAATAAAAGCAGTTAGATATTAATTATTAATAAAATAACTTAGTCATTTGCTAGTATTTTAATATACGTATAATAGTTTTATTACGTATTAATAATGGTCTTAACAACCTTTAAAATTATTTAATTTTTTAAGGGTAGGGTACAACGTAGATCATTTCTATATATAATTAGTTGCAAAAAAAATTTTATACGTATAGTAACTATAAAATATATTACTAATAAACTTTTTTATTTAATTAATTAATAAAAAAATTTAATAAAATTATTTATCTATTAATTAGCTGCTCGATACGTAAGTATCGAAGCAGCTTTTGTCTCGAATCATGTGCTACCCGATCGAACATGTGATAAGCCCTCGTACGATCACATGTTCGATCGATTGTCGATCAATTGTCGAATAATCGAACGAAAGTATGAGGTAGTTTGAGTAATTAGTAATGAGAGTATGATCAATGGAAGTAGTATAAGTAAGTTAGTGGTACTTGAGTAAATATGAGGTAATTGAGTAATAGGTTAGTAGTATATTAGTAAAACTTGAGAAATAAGGAAAGGTAATTTTGTCTTTTCTGTAAACTTGACTTTTATTCTAATTACATTAAGCAAATAATTCTGTTTTTTTTCTTTTTATTTCAATCTTGTAATATTTTGTTGTTATTTTCAGTAGAATATCATATAGAATGTTGCAGTTTTTGTCATTTCAGAGTGATATTGGTAGGTTTATAAAGAAGCATAAAAGATGAGTTAGAATTGAATGTATTATTTGATTATGAATTTATAATGTTGTTGTTAAGATTAATGTTAAAGTTTTTTTAAAGTCATTTAAGTTGATATGAATTCTTCTTTTGCAATCTATTTGGAGGTTGTAAATAGGTTTAGTTGCATTGAATTAGTAATATTTAATATAATATGATGTATTGTTTAAGTTGCATTTTTTGTAAATTATTAGTATATTATTAAGTAGTAACATATAGTGTTGAGTTTTAAGATTTTTATTGAAAGGATTATAAATTCTTCCAAAAATTAAATTGGTTGTAACTATCTAGCCTCTTTTAATAGGAGTCTAATTTGCCAAAGTATATAAATTGCAATGTAAAAATATTAATAATAGGTTTGTAGATATATTTATTAAGTCTTGTATTATATGAAACTAATAGGAATACTGGCTTCTTAATAGTTTTTTGATGTTGTAATGGAAGTGATTTTATGTGAAGAGTTCTATATTAGTATCATTTAGGAATTGCTTAATATAATAAATATTATATTTATTTAATTTTTCTTTAAGATAAAAGGCTCTAAGATGTTGTATTAATATTTGGTTTATAGAAATGCTAATAAATTTTTTTGAATATAGTCAGTCATCACTGTCTCTTAAGGTTTATATATCTAGTATATATAATACTATTATTATTTGGCCAATTTGTATATTTGTTTAAGTTATTAAAAAAATTAAAAATTGTAATAAACAAAGGTATTAGTAAATATAACATTTTGTAGTTATTGTAGATGTAGTTTCAAAAAAGAGGAATCAAAATTGGAATAGTTTAGCTTTTTTTTAAAATATTAAGACTAGTACTAAAAGTTGTGTTTAAACTATGTTTATTAATGTATAAATGTTTAAATTGTATAAAAAGAAGTTAAAGATTCCTTATACTAGTTTTATTTTATGCTTTACTAGTTAAGTACATATTTTGTTAAAAGAATTTGTTTGAATTAAAGTAAGAAATAAAGAATAAAATTAATAAAAAAGTCATAGAATAATAACATTATTTATAATATAAATTGCTTGTTTTTCTGTTATATTAGCAAATTGTAACTTTTTTAAGTTAATTACAACTTTAGTAATTATTTCTTTTTATACTAATGTTAGTTTTTTGTTAGTTAAAAACTATGCTTTTAAGTATTTAAATAACTTTCTATTGTTAGTTACTATTAGTTGCTTTTTATCAAAGAGTATAAAATTATCTGAATCTGTTGAGTTTGTAACTAATATGAATTTTGAGAAATTGATCTTTATATTGGCAAATTTGTAAAAAAAAGAGGCAATATGCAAAATGTTTGTAAAAGAGGTTTTGTTAAATACAATCCAAAGTGAATTATCTATATAAACTATTATTAAAATATATATCTTTTTTGAATATAGACTAAGAATTTTGCTAAAAAATCTTAAAATGTTCTTTGTGTATTCTTGAGATTAGTGAATTATAGTATATTTTCTAAAAATGATTTCTCCTTAGTTAATGTTATTTTCAACTAAATAAGATATAGTTAGATCTAAAATAGTAATTATTCTGTTGGTTTAGTATAAAAACAAATATAATATTAAGTTTATAGCTTTGTCTAGTATATAAATTTTTTAAAGTATTGGTTTAGATTACAGATAAACTAGTCTGAGCTTCTACTCTTTTTATAATATTTTTAAAAGTAAATTTATGCTTTATGTAAAAATTTCAAATAAATATTCAATAAAGATAAAGGTATGGCCTTACCATTAATATTAAAAAAAAAAAAAAAAAAAAATTTTTTAAAGTGCTTTGCATAAAGTAGATATATAAATTAAGTTAAAAGCTTTTGACATAACTTGTAAAAGGATTCAAACTTCTTTTTTATTTGTAATTACATCTTCTAAAATTTAAGTAAATTGTAAAATCCAACTTTACTCTCTTTAAACATGCACTCTCTCACCTCTCACTTCCTTTATCTACTATTAACATTTTCTTTGACCTTCTTACTAATTATCACAATCAAGTTATAACTAATCTTAGTTTAACTTCATCCTATCCAGTTCACAATAATATTGACCAAGGTGAAACTATTACTCTCTTGTTATGATGTATTTACTATGATCCACTTATCTCCTATATATACTCAAACACTCCTAGTTACAAATTACAATCTTTTTGAACTACTAACTTTAAACTTTAAACATCTAACTCATTACATAAACAATGTTCTGTCTTGACTTATATGAATAATACTCTTTGGATTACTTCATCACAATCTAAACTATCATATATATTATCTATAGCTGAATCAATTCTTCAAAATCTATTCTGGTTACCAACAATTCTTTATCTCACTATACACCTATCTTTTATAATAATCATCTTCTTTATCTTTATTCTTTTAAAATACTATTTAAATTTTTAGGTTGTTGGTTTATTTTGGACAACAAATAATCTAAACAAACAAAATTACTTATTTCTGAATCCTTTCAATTAATTCAAATCGCTAAAACCAAATGTATTACTGACTCACATGCTTATTATATTATTAACACAGTAATTATTCTTATTCTTAAATATCAACTTCAAAATATCATAATCAACTAACCAATTTGTAATAAAATTTTTACTCAGCATATTGGTCTTGTCAAACTCAAAGCTAAACTTTGTCATACAATACCTTTTAGTATCCTTCTACATCTACAAATTTATAATATTAAACATATCTGGAATATTTAACTACAATACCATATTCCTAATCTTATTAAACAACTTAATAATCCTGACCTATTAGGCACATCTATCCATATTTAAATCCAACAATTACAAAACAATCTCTGGTCTCCAATTAGCATTTTCTCTCATCTCAACCTACTTATTGATAGTTCCAACCACCTAATTACAAACTTTAAAATTATACAGCTCATCAAACATATTGGCTAAACATTTTTAACTAATCCAACTTATAACATTTCTTATACTTTATATGATGGAACTATCTCTTTTGAATCTCTCCTTTTCTCTTATTCTAAATATTTCATTTTCAAAAAACAACTTAGACATTACAAACTTCTCTTTCTTGAACAATTTACCATCTATGATAATTATATTTATTATATTGGCAATATATTTCTCCTAGACTAAACAAACTTCCTAAAGGTGTTATATCCCAATAGTTTACTACTCTTAAGAACATTACTACTAGTCATTTCTATAAATATACATTATACAATCATTTTAAGCTATCTCAGTCAAACTATTTTTCTTATACTACTGGCCACTTTAACTCTAACACCAAACTCTGGCTACTTACTGTTCTTAATAATCAAATTATTGTTGGCAAGGCTAGAAGGCACAATAGCCCTACAGGCCTTACTCTTATTACTTACTGGCACTGTTCATTTCAGTCTCAGTTTTCTAACCTTTATTCTACTTCTTCTTCTACTACTACTATATACCCTGAATGTTATCTTAACTTCAATACAATTACCAACAAGTGTATTATCTTTATTCCTACAAATTTGGCTACAAAATTACTTTGTTATATTAATTCTAACAAAACTCTTAACCTACATGC